CTGCGTGCCATGTTTTAATACCTTTTTTTTTGGGGGGGGGGGGGTATGCATCTATGAGAACCTGTTTGAAAAATCGGAAGAACGGGAAAATATTCTAAATAAACGCCTGCCACGGCTCAGCTAGAGATCGGCAGCAACTTCAGCCTTATAAACCAAGTGGCACCGAGACGTCACCCCTTCCGTAACACCGCCGGAGTGAGTAAGAGCAACCTCGAGTAAGGTGGGGAGATATTTCTTCCTTCCTCGTTTACACCTCAGAATTCCCAGCTGAGTATTAATTTAATACAGCACCGGAATAATTTGCATATAAAGCCACCCCGCATACTGCCCACACACAACCTCCCCCTAACAAATCAATACGCCGCCGGATCAAAGCCTCCTCCGACCCAGGGCGACATCTGTGCAACCTTTCGGGAGCCTTTTAAAAACAGCCCCCCCCCCAATAAAGGTGTAAACAAAATTATTTGGCAATCAGACGAGGGCGTGTCCAAATCATGCCGCCGCCCCCTTCAAAAAAAAAAAAAATCGCATCCGGCGACGCTTCAGAGATCCCAAGTTCGCTGAGAAAGAGCACCTCGCCTCCTTCTCACGTCTCCCACCCAATGACTCTTGCAACCACAGTTCCTCCCTTGCGTTTGGCACGAAGACAAAACGGGCTCCGGAGCTGCGCCTCCTCTGCTCCTTTACGCGAAGGTTGCACTTACCCTCCTTCCACGTTTCCCGCTTTTCCCTCCACTTGCCAGGCGCGCGCCCGCGATCTTCTCTACCGTCCGCCGCCCCCTCCTCGCCAAACGGCTTTCATTCATAAGCCGCGCCGCGCCGCGCCGCAGAGAAGCAACCGGCTCCCTCGAACGACCGACTGCTGGAGGGAGGCGCTGCAGCCTCGGCGTCTCCGGCCGCGCAGCAACGGCGGCGCCTCTGAGCCGATTTCCTGCGGCGTTTCTCAGCTGCCCTCTGGCGGAGGTCCGGATATTGCAACCCAGAGCAACAGAAGACTCTGTCAAAAGTTGTAACCGAAAGAATGACAAAAGGTCCGGCAATCAGCCTTAGTCTTGGCAATGAAGATAATGAAATGGTGGATAGAGTCCATCTAATGTAGTAAAAGGAACAATTATTAGAATAATGATTTGTCTGCATAACTAGAATGATGATTTGTCTGCATGATTGCTAGAATAATGATGTAATGCATAATCACTGGGAAAGTTCTGGGTCAGTAATATGTGGCTAACCAAATGCGCATTGCACATGGATACTTTGTATGTAGCAAAACCTTCCATTGAATGCCCATGAGAAACGATCGAAATACAATGTGTATTACAATGTGTGTAGTCCTTTGTTCCTGAAAGGATAGTATAAAACTGAAGTTTAATCCCGCCCTCCTTGTTCAGAATTGCATGTCTCCATATGCCTCTGAACCTGCGCAAATAAACCTCTCTGCTAAACCCCTCTGGAATTCGTAAGAGTTCTTTCGTTTTCCACAAGACATCCACCTTGCTGCTAGTCGTCCTTTCCTTTTTCCTTCCACCTTTCCCGGTGTTAGGGACTTCTCAAAGCAGCCTTGTCTTCTCACATAAGATAATACCTTGAGCCTTGTCATTTTTGCCTCAAGGGAGAATTCTGGATTGCTTTTATCCTGTGATCCCTTTGTTTTCTTGTCAGTTTCTGGAGTCTTTTCCAACACCAGAAAGAAAGCCTCATACTCTATCGTGCTTTTTCATGCTACCGTGGTGTCACAGAAATAAACATTGTCCACACAAATTTTAATCTATGTAGGTATAGAGACATCACAGCATCGGTGTGTGTTTTCCAAGGCCTTCATTGCTATCCAAACAAGGGCCAGTCTAGGACATATTTCTTGACTGCCAATCCTAACAGGCAGAAGCTATCTGTCACTTCAGTAACCACATTCTCAGTTCAAAGGGTGGCCGTCATACTTATTGTCATTATTTGGGGCTTCTTTATATTTCTTTTTCAAATGCTTCTTGATTTTCATTACTAAAGCTTACAGGTCATTGGCATTTTCAGCTATCAGTAGTGTCATCAACATAGTACAGGTTATTGATCTTTCTTCCTCCGATTTTAAAACCACACTCAACTTATTCCAACCACGCTTCCCTCAATATATATTCAGCATATAAGCTGAATAAATAAGGGGAGAGTTATAGAAACATTAAGTAATAGTATAATACACTGTTGTTGTGGCTAACATGGTTAGTATATAATGAGACACCCAGATCTCATCCAGATCCAATTTTCTATAGTCTTTTGAATCTGTCTCATGGAATTTTGCAGCTTTCAATACCCTTCTGCAGTTGCAAGACATTACTTTAAAATACTTTTTCAACTATTTAAGATGGAGGAAAAAGAAAATGCAAACTTGGAAATTATATGAATCAAAAAATGTATGTACTAATATGTTCCCTCTGTGCTGCATAGCACTGAGGAGCTGTACCCTCTTTTTTTCTAAGTAATGATCTCACATTGATTTTTCTATTCCACTAAAGAAGTTGTGTCTGCATCCTTTTCAATTCTGGAAGCAGGTAATTTTCTAGTGGTTTGCTTCCCTTGCCTATGTTACTATGACAACAGGAGACTCCAGAGCAAGTTTGTGCTTATACTCTTCAAAGGAAAAAAAAGATTTATGTTGGGAATGATACAGTGGTAATATAAGCTGATGCTGGGGAAAAATGCAAGATTCCAGCTATTTGGGAATCCTATCAGCAAGGCACAAACACAAAGCTATTATTCCCATCTTGTTCCTAATTCTCAGCATCAGGTACCCCAAGACAGAGTGTTCCTGAATGTAAAAGGTTATTTTGTTATTATTTAATTCAGGCAACCACAGTCATGTTCATGAGTTTATCTAATGCCCTTTTACAGCTTTTGAGTATTCTCACAATACTGTATGGCAGTTAAACTCCAGTTAAGTTGCATAAAAAGTGTATCTTAATTAAATACCTTCTCTAAATTTCTCTAAAATGTTTATAATATTACAGTCAAAAATGTCCTATTCATTGGTGCCCACAGCACTGCTATTTTAAACTGTCTTAATAACGCAGACTTTTCTTTGCATTTACTTTAATATAAATATTACTGTGAATGAATAAAATTCTATAACCATCCCTGGATGTCCCACTCTTTGTATTCCACACGTTTGTATCCAATTGCAGTTATCTCAAAAGTAAGCTCTAAGAATTCTCCTTTTAGATAAGCAGAACTCCCTTTTAAATTAACAGGACTACATTTTTTAAAGATATTGCTAATCTTCTTTGCGCTTAATGTTTCCTAGCTTGAAAATACACAGCAACTTTTTTTTCTTAATTTTCTATTGCATTTTTGTGTGGACATCCTGTTTTGACTGTAATATTTTTCCATCTGGAGCAGTGTTTCTCAACCTTGACAATTTTAAGGCATGTGGACTTCAATTCCCAGAATTCCACAGCCAGCATTGCCCACAGCCAGCATTGCTGGCTGTGGAATTCTGGGAGTTGAAGTCCACATGCCTTAAAATTGTCAAGGTTGAGAAACACTGATCTGGAGTAAGCTGTTAAGTTTCTTAAAACATGTCTTTGCTTCTCTCAAGTCAAAGAGTATTAATGTATTTAACTGTTACCATTTTCTATCAGTGATAAGGGTGAGACACATATATTGTGGGGACCATTTTGTTACCCTCATTGCTAGTCTAGGACAGAGGTTCCTAAACTTTCTGCCATCACACCACCCTTAGTGCAGAAGTAGGCAATTAATTTTCCCAAGGGGACCCCTGAGAAACTGGGACTGTCATGGAGGGCCGAACCAATAGGCTGAACTTAATTCTGCTACTGGCGCCCACGTACTGAGGGAGGAGGGGGCATGATCTCATCTTAACCCAGCTGCTGCTCTTCTGATGCAGGCACAGAAATTTTTTTCTCTCACCAACTGCTAACACAGTCGGCTTCTTCTCCTGCCCCTTGTGGCATGCTTATTTACATTTTATCTTCTAACTCCCAATTGATCTCATGCAGGCCAGACAGGGATATCCAAAGGGCCGGATGTGGGCCAAGGGCCATAAAATTCCCAGGTCTGCTTTAGTGTAATCTTAATGGCCACACCTCCTCTAAAATTCCAAACTCCCAAAATGAATACAAATGAACAATGAAAACAATACACTGAAACTTCGGGAAAGCTTAATTTATTATAACCAGGCAACTAAAAGGTTCTTCACACTTCCTCTGGATTCTGTTTCCACCTCCCTAAGGAAGGTTCACCTCAAACTTTGGGAAACCTTGATCTATGACATTACAGCTGGGGTTAACCCTCACATTGAACCGCCACAATGGTTAGAAAACACAATTGGACTTGGATAACATTTATATGAAGCCAAACAAACCACTTCAATTCTTTATTTTGTGATTTGTTCAACATGCTTAAACTTGTAAGAGCCTTTTCATATGAATAGATTTTCTCTGACAATAGAAAAGAGAGACCAAATATTTTAGTATAATCTGAAAAGAACTTGAATTTTCTTCCTGTTTTCAGTCAAGGAAGCTAAAGCAACTTGAAACATATCCCAGGTTTCTGCCTCCAGAGAGGAGGGGAACAATTTGGAGGGAGATCTCAAAGGGAAGGGAGAACCTTGATATGGAATCCAGTAAAACTGATTCCCTTTGAGAAATGCAGCTATAGATTCATTGTGGTACAGGAATACATTTGCTAATCTTACTGTTCCTACGTTTTATTACTAGCTATTTCCGATTTTTTAAATATAGCATTAAAATTTATATTTTATTGATACTGCTAACACATTTTTTCATACTTCAATGCAAAACAATCTTAAATATATTTCAGACAAAAGGCTAATGTCAAGATGTAAAATTAGAACCAAGATATTGTAGGCTTATGTCCAATTTCAATCCTTTGCAGAGTGGTGGTTGTGAAAAAGTAGAAGAGGAAATATTGTACACATTGACTTAAGCTCCTAGAAGAAAGGAGGCTATAAATCTAACAAATAAACAGTAATAGAGTTTCCTGATCAAGATTTCCAGAGCGAGCATCCTTTGGGTATTTTAAAATAAGACCTTCAATTTTTCTCTGGAAGACTGTGTTTGAAGAGTACCTATATTCAGAAAGCAATCCTTCCAGAATATGAGATGTCAAGTAATTCTTAATCTCCTAAAGTCAATACAGAAGACTGAAATAATACAAATATTTCCTTTTAATGCAACATTTCCTTGCTTTATTAGTCTTATACAAAAAAGGAATTCATTATATAAAATTCATGTATTGTGAATTAGAACACAAAGCTAACATTTTTAACACTAGAACTTTATATTAATATGATTATATTGCAACCAATCGTTTTCCTGAGTTAACCACTTTATATGTACTTTTCTAATATATTGCCAATAAGTTATTTTACAGTAACAAAATTATAATGTAAGAAAAGGTATCTGATGCTTATCAGTGCAAAAGAATGCTACTAAACCTTTCTTCACGGAGATTAGAGTTCATATCTTCTCAATGCATATAAAATGATCTAATTTATCTAAAATATTTCAGTTCACATTGTAGCAAAGATAAATATAATTACAAATAAGCAGAATATAAAATTATTTCTTGGCCGAGAATACAGAATTCAAGTACTTATATTAAAATGAACATTATTCATGCATAATATTTTCCTGCTGAACTTCAAATGAAAGTAATAAATATGATGATGAAATATATGTACAGGAGTTCCAATGTTCTCTTTTTGTTATGCGGTAAAACAATGTACATCATTACCCGAGTGTCCAAGAGTTTGTAAAAACCTGAAACAAAATGTATTAAATGGAAAATTAACCCCAATCTAGTTGTGTAAAAAGTAATGTTTTTATTTAAACTAAATCTTTTAAGCTAAAAGATTATTAAAAGTATATTCTCTCACAGGCATATGAATTCTTAATGTATGGAATGAAGAAGAGAACATTCATCACATTTACCATATTAATTAGGTTTAAAGTTTTTATTTGACCTGTTTCACAATTGAAAAGTAAATCAAAGTTCAAAAGGAACTATAAATATGGTTCTTTTAAAAACACAGTCTTTGACTAGAACTCTATTCTGAGTCATATATTAATTTAGTGGTGCAAGGATTATTGAAAATTGCTTCCAAATAGATCCTTTGAATATTAGTCTTAATTACTGATTCATACTGATAAATGTACATCTAAACCAGTCTGGCCAGTCAAACTAAGGGTTTTATGTGGCAAAAGGTGGCTTGTCCAATGAGCCATGGCTGAATCAACAGCAATTAACAAAAATCATACATTCATATGTACTCTGGTATGGAGGTTACGTACTTACATAGCTGAGTTAAAATATCCACAAAATGCAATTGGATCCACAATGATTCAAACCGGAGCTTAGGCAAACTGTGATACAAATTTGTCAATGTATTTAATGTACTCTTTCCTACTTATGCTCAAAACATTTCAGTGTTCAAAACATACCAGTGTTCAAAACATTTCACGTAAAGTGTGAGAGTGTTTCAAATGTTTAAAATAGGCAATGTACAAAATATGCAGTTTAACGGTACTTATCTCCTGTTCCCATTTCACTTACTGTATTCCTTGTTCCATAAATGGTAATGGACCACAAATGCATATAAGTATTTTAGACCCGTGTTGACTTCTCTTCACAAATTCAGAAAGCAGAGAGAGGGAGATTTTTCCCTGTTTGCCTGGCCATTCTTTCTTTGGCTCTGAGAGAACAAACTGAATGTCAAACCTGAGAAACAGTAATTAAAGACACCAATGTTTAAAAGGCACGTTTCAAATGCTTAGAAATCCATAGGCATTCCATCATCCTCACGCAACTACCAATTCATGCCTAACACAAAGGTAGTTCTCAATTAGCGGCTGCTTTATTCAGTGACATCAGCAATTAAGATGGTGATGAAAAAGTAACTTTATTGCCAATCCTGATATTTAGGAACCTTCAGGGCTCCATAGAGCAAAAGAAATGCTGAAATAAGGTCACAAGCATTTAGCAACAACTTTGCTTAATGACCAAGTTGCCAGTCCCAATTGTAGTTGCTAAACGAGGACTATCTGTAGGTAAGAAACTGAACCAGCATCCTGAACCTGGATAGTTCTGCTTTATACTCTACACCAGTGATGGCGAACCTTTTAGAGACTGAGTGCCCAAACTGCAACCCAAAACCCACTTATGCATCGTCGAGTGCCGGGTAGGTGTGGTCTATTGGCTGGGTGTTGCCAATTGGGTGGGTGTGGCCCATTGGGTGGGCGTGGCTGTTGTGGTAACGGCAGACTGGGTGGGATTAAAAAGTTCAATCAATCAATTCCAACTTTGCAAGATCTTTTTTTTTCCCCGTGAGAAGTTGAAATTGACTGATTGAACCTTTTTTTTTTTTTTGCAAATGGTGGCGGAGGCCTAAAGCGAAAAGGTTTTATAAAACCCAGCTGAAGGCCTAGGACTGGGGCGATGGTGCGCGTGCCTACAGAGAAGGCTCTGAGTGCCGCCTCTGGCACCCGTGCCATAGGTTCGCCACCACTACTCTACACTACTGACACAATAATGCAACAAGTTGGATACAGAGTTGACCTTCCATCAGCCAAAGGGACTGAGATCATTACTAAACGACAGTTTTTCTCCTCACGCTGTTACATTGTTCTAGAAGTGTGTAATCTGAAGTAGATTTTTAGGGACATCAAGAAAACCAATGAACAGCAGGAAATTACATCCTTTTCTCTTCCTTAAGCCAATCAGAGTGAATGACTGCTCGCAAAAGGAGGCCCATTGAAAAATTGATTATTAAGATAATGTGCTAGGACAGCCATTTATTTGAAGTACTAATCATTTTCAAATATTCTGGCTGTCTATTTTTAGAATATACTACGGAGGTAATGAACTTTGCTCTCAAGTCTTCCTAGCTTATGCTTCTAAGAACTGATGATCTATAAAAAAACCTTTAAAGCAGAACCTGTTACCATTGCATACAGGAGAGGGTAACATCTGCTCATATTAGTCTTATCTTTACCCAACACTGGCAATTCACTTATTTAGCTCAAACAATCCCAGAATGCCACAGCTATTAGCATACAGGTTGTATTGTATGAATGCTTCCATACCTATCAGCATATATACAATATACGTTGTGGCGAGATAGGCGGCAAACAAATTTAATAAATAAATATGTTAGAGATATCAAAAAGACATAGAATGTGGTCACAAAGTTTGGAAACAATAAAAACAATTATGATTATGTCTCTATTATTCTAGAAGGGAGGGCATGGAACAATGGATTTTGATAGTAGAACAAAATACTAAGAGAGGCAGAGTCCTTCCATCACTGACCAAGGTGGATTTAACATGGATGCTTTAACTGGATTTCTGAGTCAGGTAGGAACTCAGATTTGGAAGCCTAAGTGGTCCCTTCCAACTCCACTGATTCTTCCCCAAAAGAAGTCCCTGCTTAAATGGTGGGCTTTTGTATCACATTATATGAACAGCAGACAGGATAAAAAAAAACCAAACACGAAGTCATTGTATACATCAGTTTCTGGAAACTATTAATTACCTTGTGTCCTTAAGGGCTAACTGCTCCAGCTGACTTTTCCAAAGTATATCGTCTTCTGTCTTGTTGAAGAACATCATTTTTACTGCCCTTAAAGGGATATTTCAATATTTAATGTTCAGTTTTAAAAATCTGTGAACAAACAGTATTCTTTGAAAAACACAACCCTGAACACCTGAGTAAGAATTCCCAGAATGTTTTTAGCTAATCCACTTATTCAACTCTAGTAGATCTCTGAAACACACAAAAAATAGTAAGATGTGATGGTTCCAGCTTTCTGCTTGCCCCTTCTTTGCTCATATCCCTTCTGCGCATTTGAAAATACAGCACCCTGTATAAATGGTACTTTAGAACAACTGAGTCCCTTATAAACTTACTGAGAAAATGGGTGCCCCCATCTATCCACTGAGACAGTCCTTCCCATCCCACTTTGTTCTTTCTTGAATGGAGGGAGGACAAATTAATCCTTCTCAACTGTTTTCTCACTTCACGGGGTTTGTAACTACATATTCTAGCCTTTTAAAAATAGAAATAGACTATTTTCAGTATTCCTCCAATATTATTGAATATGGAAAGCCCATATGTAAGAAAGTGGGGGCCAGGTTTAGTCCAGAATGATAAGGAGTCAACAAAGGCAATGAAATTAAACTAAAGTCATTTCACGTTTTTATTTCAGCAACTTGATTGCCATAAAGAAAATGATTCTCGTGGCATCTGGGCCGAAGGGTGACATGCTTTTATGAAGTTTATGATGTGATTTTCAGCGATGCCAGTAAAGCTGCTATTCTAACCAAACAACATTAGAGATGGTATAGATTCAAAAATAATTGCTCTAGACTACAATCATTGTGTCACTAAGAGTGGAAGATGGCAGGGAGGGAGGGAGGGAGGGAGGGAGGGAGGGAGGAAGGAAGGAAGGAAGGAAGGAAGGAAGGAAGGAAGGAAGGAAGGAAGGAAGGAAGGAAGGAAGGAAGGAAGGAAGGAAGGAAGGGCATTTTCCCCAGATGTCCTCAAGGGGGCACTGCTGAATAAAGCAGAATTATTGTACGTATTAGATTTCCAAGAAAAAGGGGGTGAAAGCCACTGTTACCAGCACAAGATTTATTAAAGGTAAATATTTACAGGCAATGCTCCCTGTGACATATAACAGGGAGGTATGCTGAGTTCTGCCATGGCACATCCATGAGAAGGGACTGGTTTGTTGAGTTTTATAACCATACAGCAAGTTGCATGAGAAGCTGGCTTATTAGCGAAATGCCTTGCCCATGAATTTCTCAGTGCCTCTGCATCTGGCATTACCCCTATTTCTCCCTTTTGCTGTTGTAATGGTATGTGGCAATGACCTTGGGAAACAGGAGGAAGAGCTACAGAGCAAACTAAAAGTATATGCTGGCAACCATTATTACGAAGTTGGTCACTCAGCAGTTACCTGAACAGTATAGCTTATTTGAAGTAATAAAAAGAAAAGGCTTTGAATGCCCCAAATGAACAGGAATAGACAGCATACTAAAAAGCAGAGACATCACCCTGCCAACAAAAGTATAGTCAAGGCCATGGTTTTCCCAGTTGCAATGTATGGCTGTGAAAGTTGGACCATAAGAAAGGCTGAGCGCCAAAGAATTGAGGCCTTTGAACTATGGTGCTGAAGAAGACTCCTGCGAGTCCCTTGGACTGCAAGGCGTTCAAACCGGTCAGTCCGAGAAGAGATCAACCCTGACTGCTCTTTAGAAGGCCAGATCCTGAAGTTAAAACCCAAATACTTTGGCCACCTAACGAGAAGGAAGGACTCACTGGAGAAGAGCCTAATGCTGGGAAAGATTGAGGGCAATAGAAGAATGGGACGACAGAGAATTAGGTGGCTGGATGGAGTCACTGAAGCAATAGGCATGAGCTTAAATGGACTCCAGAAGATGGTAGAGGACAGGAAGGCCTGGAGGAACGTTGTCCATGGGATCACGATGGGTCAAACATGACTTCGCAACTAACAACAACAAGATATTAGAACAGAAAGATACCTGAGGGTAGGACTATTACTTAAGGCATAGCTGAGCAGTTTAACCATCGGTGTGAATCCGGTGCCTCCTGCCAATAAAAGCAAATCTTCTACATCTTCCAGTTGTGATTTTCTAAAAGTACCTTCAGGATTACTCAGAGAAATATAGTCTCCTGTTAAAAAATGAAATAGTACAAATATAGTACAATAAATGTTAAAAGATTAGAAAATCACGATCAGTCTGTTCCCCCGATAGATGCAAGTTAGCATCAATCTAAAAAAACCCACAAGTATTCTACAGAAAATAATGGAACAAATGAAATCGGGCAATTTGCAGTCTACACAATACTATTCTTTTTTTAAAAAAATGCATAATATCTTTTGAAAATATTTTAAAAATGAAAAAGAAAAACTAATACATTTTAATATGCTCTGAGAGGGAAATAAAAACGTCTGTCTTACCTATTTGTAAAGTGTCAAGCACCGGTGTAAAAAGTCCTTCAGGATAAATTTTAATTATAAAAAATATTTGTGCCTTATCATTGGAAGAGGGGATTTTGAATGGTGATACCAAATAAGATAATACTGGTGTGTAAGGCTTGACTATCTCTGTACCTAAGGAAAGACAGTGCAAAAAAAAAATCCATAATAATAAGCATTAAATATTACAAGTAGCTTTAGTGCAAAAAGATATGAATGTTAAGAACAAACGTATTAATATCTGGGTGAATAATAAAAACCATAGATTAAGTACGGAACTTATGACCAATTTATTTCTAAATAAGCCAAAGATCAATGCATGATCATGCTATGAACTACCTCTTAGGTGTTATATTATTTTGTTTGATTAGAATATTTCATCTATCACATTTACTGTCAACCTATTTTGTATATCAGCTGTCTCTACCCTTCCTATCCAATCCATGCTGTAGATACTTTTGGCCAAGGAGTGTCAGTAGCAGGGCCCCATAGGAGACCCATTTATGCCATGCCAAAGATCAACACCAATACCTAAAATATATATATTAAATGTGTCAAAATCACCGGATTGCAGAAAATACCTTATAATTGGTGAGCAAAAAAACCTGCTGTATAAGATATATGTTTTTCCCTTAGTACAAAAAATCAACCACTTGTACATTCCTTGAAAATTAGAATTAGGACCAATAATTTCTAGAAGCAGGGTGAGATTTTCACCTCATTACCTGTAATTGTTTGTTTGAGGTAAAGATGGTGTCCCACTGGCACTTGGAGATGTGTTCCTGGCGGTAACTCTACACAGAACAGTCTAGTATCATGACTGACGTTTGTCTTTGACAACAGCTTGCATTTCCTATAATACAAACCTTAGAAACACAAAAACCAAGGAATTAACTGAATGTACTTTGCTCAAGTATTAACACTGTTAAACATTTATGCTTTAAACACATTTAAAATCTTTGTTCTATTCAGGAGTTTCAGAAAGAAAATTCTCACTGACCTGAACTCCCTTTATAGAAACAGAATGAAAATTCTCAGTCTGAGTCACTGAAATTCTATGCCTCTTACAAAGAATATCAAACAAGTGTCGTTATTCTGCTCACCACTATTTTTCAAATATTACATTAATATTTTAATCTCAAAATGTTAACATTTATATTTACTGGTATATTAATGTCAATATATTCAAATTCTTGAGATATAGATTCAAAGAACATTTCTAGCCAAAAGTCTGGTCCACATATTCAAGTCTTACAGTGTAAAACAAATCAATTACAGACATGATGACGCAAAGGTACATCATTACAAGCTGATACTATGCCAGTGTAGCAGATAAGAGCCACTTTTTCTCAGAGTGGCAAACAAAACTGTCCCAGTGAACCACACAATGGTCTAATCATCATTCATGTTGCTTTTTCACCCAGACTCTGCTGAAAATTTATTCGGAAATAAGTGTATCAAGCTACTTATAATCGATCAATGCTTTAACAAAAGCAAGGGTAAAAAGAAGGTAGACAGAAACTCAAGCACAATCAGGAGACAATCACTATTCACCTCGTTTTAGAGGCATTTCTTTATATCCTCAGAGGTTAGAGCGTTCATCAATATTAAAAAACCCTCTCTCTTCCCTAACTCTTATCATTCTGCTTCTGGCCAAAGTAAACCACAAGTTTGACAGACATCCTGCTTTACTAATCTAAACTGCTTGGAGGCAGTGATGTTCTGAGCTACAAAGTGTACACAGTTGTACACGGTTATGTAAGAGCACCTCCTAAAACTGTCATATCGTTAAAGTATTGATTCAGGTCCTGTTGAGATTGTGTTGTTGTTAGTTGCGAAGCCGTGTCAAAACCAAGTATGTCAGGAGTTCAGGAGATGATCTTAATTGTAGTTAAGATGCAGTAATAGAATCTGAAAAGCCTGCCCAAAGCACTTTCTGTCCTATCTAATACTAAACACACTTAGATCTTTCTCATGATCTCCTTTTTGTCAGGAACTGTGTAATCTTTTCTGCAAGTCTCCCCTTAACGACTTGCCCCAGCTTTCCTGAAGGTCAGCTCTATATTCCTTCACAGATCTATAGAGCAGGAATTTCTGTTATACCCTAAAATTATGAGGAGTTGTGCAGAAATGAACTTTGAGTGGAACAATAAAATGTATTACCTCTATCTGTACATTTGACAAAAGAATTATGATTCTCTAGAGGCTGCCCAAGTTTTCTCCAGGACAAATTTTCTTTCTTCTTCAGAACAAATTCCACTTTTCCCACATTTTCAGAAATCTGTACTAAAAAGATACATAGTATTGTTCTATAGCAATACACCTACGACATTTTGCACAGGTAATGTAATTTTAGAAATCAGTGCTGCTGGAAGGCAATTTCATTCAGTTTCTTAAAACAGGACGTGTAGTATTACTGAATAAAACTTTTTTTATACATACATAAACTTCCAAAATATATGTATGTCATAGTCTGAAAGCACATTTTTACAAGTAAGCAGTGTTTGGATTAGATCCCCTTGCATGGGTAACAGAATACAAATCTATATAAATAAAAATGTAAATGTTCGTTTGTTCAAAATCTTAAATCTCCGAAAGTTCTTCACCGATTGCTTTGAAATTTTCACACAACGTTGCATTCGAATACGTGCGTGTTTTTATATACCTACTATTATATAGATGTCACTCCTGTGACAGGTAAAAACATGCTTTTTTTTGAAAAACAGCGCCATCTGTTGGATGTAAAAGCAACACACGCTTTGACCAAACTGAGCCACAGCAACGCGTGGCCGGGTACAGCTAGTGTATACAATAAAAAAATTAAAATATAAAGTAAGAGTCTTGGGGGCGGGGAGATGTACACACCTTTGAGTCAGTGTTGACTCCTGGTGACTACCTGGACTAATCCCTGCAGTCTTCTTGGCAAGGTTTTTCAGAAGTGGTTTGCCTTTGCCTCCTTCTGACAACCGAGAGAGAATGACTGACCAAGGGTCACCCAGTTGGTTTAGCTTAGGTTAAACTTTGTTATTGTGGGGTCCTTGGTGCTCTCTGAGCTTGATGGTTTTCTTGCAGACTTTTCATTACCAAACGAGGTAACATCATCAATGCCTGATGATTTGGTTATTCTTGTGTATTCTGGCACTATTTATTTTTTGTGATCTTTTAAAAGAAAGAAGAAAAATTGGAAAACAAAACAAAACCCTGACTTGATTCTAGTACTAGTTCTTGGAATGTGGAACTGTTGTACAATTATATCTGCTCCAATATAATATAGCCTGTAAGAATAGTGAATTTTTTTTTTGCTTTAACATTTTGCAAATTCCTTATTTTATATTTTGAAAACTTTCAATAAATTCTTTGTTCCAGCTTTCCTATTATTTTTTCTCTTTCCACTCTCTAATTATTTAAAAATATTTTTTAAAAAATACTAGAAAAAAATCAAAACAGAATATTCATATTACATCAGCTCCTGAGTATGTTAGCAAAATGAAGCAAAAAAAAGCATGTTTGAACCACAAAATAACATACTTACTTACCTATCATATCTTTATAAACTGCATAACTCAGTTCTGAAATAGATGCATATAGTTTGGTTAAATAAAGTCTTTAATTTACATAAGATTATTAGTTATAAAGTCTGTTAAGCACTAAGGTAAGAAGAAAATGTGAAACTGTTTAAACATGGATCATGGTGTAATTCAGTTTATGAAAATCTGTACAATGAAAACTTACACAATGAGCTATTTGGCACAATTCCATTACTACATGAATGAGCCTTAGATTTGTGGAGTTTTCCTCTCTTCCCATGGTATGTAATAGTTCCAAAACTGTTTTTGCATGTAAAACAGGCTTGCACTAACCTGGAAAAAACAAATTTGCAGCAACCACTCATGTGTAATAAAGAGCTTTGATAAAATATATGCAAACCAGGTTTTCAAGTAGCATCAAATCACTGAACCTGAGCAAGAAGTGAGCATATCTGGAACTCCTAATTTCCCTGGGAAAGGGAATGGATAACCCAATGGGAGATCAGATACGCTGTATTCCTAGTTAAATTCATGGTTTCATTAAGATGGACTTGGAAACACTCCGACGTAAAATTTAGAGAATTGCTGCTTCTTATTGAAGTCGTTTCTGACCTACTTCAAACCATACATCTTAGTATTTTGATGCTTCCTATATTTCCACTCATCAGATGTGCCTAATGCAAAAAACACGGAGATGCATTTTCCATTTGCTCCAGTTGCTGAAATTCAGTATTGAGGAATCCGAAAATTTTTGATAATCACACTTTTCACTTGGTTTAGACGCTTTTTAAACATCTTGCTCAAGAACAGGGAAAAGTGCAAAAAAAAAAAAAAAGCTCCAAGAATAAACACTTTTTCTTCTATCACACAGTGTAGCACATTTCACATCATTGGACCCTAGTTTTATGATATAAATGCAGCCTTGACCATTTACAAAAGCTGACAAATGTACATAATATTGGCATCAGGCGAACTTGCGTTATGTTAATGCAGTCCTAATCCACTTATTTATTGATAAACTGTGAATAAAATTAATAGGTCAATAAAGAGCTTACCGACATGTATAAGGTATGAGAAGTCTTTCACAATTATTTCTCCTCTTAATGTATATTCTTGAACATCTGCTATCACCAATTCAGAATTCATATCCTTTCAGAGGGAAGGAAAATGGGGATGGAGTACAAACAGCGGAGACAACATTGTTCTACATTATTATCACTAGGCACAATCAATGGCATTTTACAAAGTAATAAGAAGCAACAAGAAGAAAGTGAAGATGAGGAAACTAGATGAAGAATGCACATTTGGTTCAATTTAATTATTTATGTTTAGTTTCAAGAGGTGATTTAAAAATCATAGAAAGGTGATTTTTACATAGTAGGAGAAGGGTCATACTAATAGTCTAGAAGTAAATTTTAGACATGTGAGACAGCAAAAAAAGATGTCTGAGGGAGATGGTGGTTAATAAATATGAAAAATAAATAAATATCATAAAACAAATAAATAAATAAGTGTTCTCAAGAAATGAATTAAGATACATCTAAACATTTAAAAATAACAGAGTTAGAAAAGAAACAAAGGCAATATACTATACTGAAAAAAGAGAAGGTTACAATATTGCAAATGTTTTCCAGCAGTTGAATTTATTTACCTTTTGTTTAGTGTATATTACCAAAGTGACTGAATCTTGTGTCTGGAACCAGTCATAACTGAAATAAATTGAGAAAACTGTAAATTTTTGTTTTTAAAAAATATGTGCCTCCCCGGAGATTTTTCTTTATGTGTGATTTATTAAATATTATTTAATTGTGAGACTGTCATAGGAATAATTTTAGGCTTTCTTAAACTGAAGGAAAACATCACAAGAATTCTGATAAACAAATAGGATATTGAGATGGAGGCCGGGGGATGCCGCGCAAGTTAATCTGGACCTCATTTCTTGGCTGCAGAGGCCCTTTCCTGAAGGCCTCTACTGGCGAAACGGAGGTTCGGGGGGGGGGGCGCCACCTGCGTCAATCTGGAGCTCGTTTCTCAGCTGCAGGGGCCTTTCCTGAGGCTGGGGGTGACGTGCACGAGTGATGGCGAGTGGCTGCAGAAGTGGGCCAGCGAGACGAGGCAGGTGTCGGGGCATGGGAAGCCTGGCTGCGGCGGTCCTAAGGTAAGCGGGTAAGACATCCCCCCAAAATAAGACCTAGTGCCTCTTTTGGAGGCAAACAATATATAAGACCAGGTCTTATTTTCGGGGAAACACGGTATTTAAGTACTACAAACTGCAACTGAGTTATGAAAAGAAAGAATTTGGAGTGGGGTTTTTTTGGCAGGGGATCTAGGATAAAGAAAAAGTAAATCAAGATCAGTTGAAAAATATGTTAGGTGATTTGCTGAAATAACTTATTTTTAAAAGAAGAAGAAGGGGAAAAGTGCTATTACTTTATTCTTGGGTTTCACTATTCCTCAGTTATAAAACAGAAATGCTATTTTGTTTGTTTCAGTAAGTTCTTGCTTTGCTGGCCAGTCTGAGGTGTTATACTAGAATCTCCAACTACTAATATACATTTGGATATGTAAAACACATGCTCTCCATACTAAACTTTCCAAGTTCAATCCCTGGTATCACCAAATACAACTCTAAAGGTGAGTTTTCTAAAGTGTTAACAATACTAACAGTTTACTAATATCCAAGCTTACATATCAACTTAACCATAACAAGAAACCAATCTGATCCTTAGGCAATTGTGGCTTATCAAACCACTATTTATATAACCAATGCTTAATTCAAGGTATGAACCCTGACCGTATGAAGTGGCTTTCTAGGTTCTTATCCCACTAAGTTCAACAGGTAGAGTGGAGAATTAATTCTGTCCCAAATCAACATTATGTGACTTGTTTTGACTGGTAGACCTGTCTTGATGACTCTGAGCCAGTAGAAGTCATTGACATTTTGTGTTAGAGAACCAAACTCAAAAATGTTACTTGCATCAGAGCCAATCTACAAATTGTGAGACTTAACCTCAGATCTGGACAATGGCTTGAAACTATCCATATTCAGTTGATTGTCTGAAACAGCTAAGTGCTAGAAGCAATCCTGGTGTCACTACAGGTATATGACCAGCAAACCTTGAACTTGCTACTATATCAAAATTATTCTGCAGCATTTGAAACAATGGATTACCATTGCTCAATGTTTATCCTTAGACTGATTTATCTGACACATTGGCTTTGACCAGAACTTTTCTAAACAATCCTGGACAGAAGAACCAAATATTTATCTATTCATTTTTCTGAGGCATACCCACAGGCAGGAGAATGCTTCTGTGTTCTAGCAAATGATAGATTTTTGCCATCCTGAGCTACCTATTCCAACATGAACATTCACAAGTCTATTTTTTTAAAAAAATAATTATCCTTCCATTTGAAGGCAACTCCAAGAGACCTCATGGAAGTATTCGTGTAGTTTTCTTGACAAAATGCAGAATGGTTTCCTGATGTCTTGTTTTCTTCTCATCTCTTAAATCTATTCTATAGCCCTGAGCAATCTCCCAACCAAGCACTAGCAGACCAGACTTTGAGAACAAAATTATGTTAAAATGGGTAAAAATTAGTCTCTATAATATTGTCTGATTTGTTCCAATTACTAAATAAATTATAACATATACTTCCAATATATTTTCATTCAGACCTTCCTTAAAATAAATAGAATCCCACTTAATGCTGAAATATGACAATACCTGGGAAAAATTTCTTTGGAACAGTCATCCAAATCTTTTTTTTTCGGAAGTATGCCTACAAAATATAAGAAGTACAGTAATGCACAATGGTTAACATTATTGTAGCATTAAGGATTTATCAGCCTAGTCTACTTCTCAGGACAGCAGAATATGTTCCTGATTTTCATGAACAAAGGGCTAGATGAAAAGTACTATTAATTTTGTTGCTTATCATTTCGTTCAAATAATCATAAAAGCTGATGGAGATGGCTACTGGAAATAATTCAAAACTTCCAGTTTCAAATTTGTCTGTTTAAGATAAATATTTGGTTACACAATCCTAGCATAAGAAATAGGAGGGACATCACAGAACATCTTAAACTAAACTATTATTATTATTTAAATTTATTACGACTGCCCACTCCAAATGTCTTGGGTGGCCTTTTCAGACATAGAAATATCCAGAACTACAGAAATGAGGAAAATATTGGCTTGCAGGTCCCTTTTTTAAAAGCCACATGAAACGGAAAAAAACTGGCATGTAATTTTTTTTTAATCTCAGATGAATCATGAGTACTTGCATATCAATTGTTACATGTTGCCATTTTAATTTGTAAATAAAACTTTCAATATGGACAGCAGATGCAAATTCAGAAACATAAGAAATCACTTACAAGGTTGCCAAGCAATTATCACTGAAGAACCCATAAAAGAACCTACACATCCTTAAAAAGCCATTTTGACTATACAACAGCACTTATTTGTGCTTGCACAAACTCTCCTGAGTAGAGGGATAACAAGAGCCCTAGCTCCAATACATGCAAGGGGACACCGTACAAACCTCGATATTTAGTAATGTTTCTATTATAATCAGCTAAGTATAACTTTCAAAACTTATTTCGATATCTTGGATTTCCTTACATAATCCTATTTAGTTTGGCTTGACTTTAACAGGGGTGAAAAAAAACCCTATGATGTCATGGTGTGTTGGGCTTGTGTGTGTCAAATAAAGATTCATTTTTAGGCTTCTCTGAGTCTTAACAATTGTGTTTGCATATTTTTCTTTTATAAAAATCCAAACAACCATAAACTGGCAGCAAAGAGAAATTATCAAGCTCTAATAAGCACAAATGTGTTGTTGAAACTGCTGGTCTAAGAAACAACCCTGGATAAGAAATAACAAAGCAGAAAAACAATTACAAAAAAATAGAAAATGATTTTTATCAATGGGTTTATAGGGAACTAAACAGCCTGTGACATGTTATCATTTCAATTGTGTCATAATTTCAGAGATATTTACCTAAATAGGTCAGCAGAATTATCATCGGTGGGACATTTAGCTAAATAGATCAACCAAATTATCATGTGTGGGGAAAAGAACAGTGGAAGCAGGAACAATTTCTGACTTCCTGCTGGCTTCCTCATTGACTTTGCTTGTGAGAAGCTGGCAGGCAGAAAGTCAATGGGAAAGGGTCACAAGTTGCTTGGCTAAGTCTTCCCACCTGTGGCCATCCTCAAGGCCCTCTGCACTTGTGCCATGCCAGCTACTCATGCATCCCTATGTACCCTCCCTAATCCATGCCGCTATCCTGCACATCATTCCTACCTATAGCGTCACACACCCTGCCCCGTCTGCATTGCCCCTCACACATTTAACTCTTGCCTCTCCTCTCAGGCCCTCCCCTCACATCCTCATGCACCGTCTCTAACCCTTACCACACCTCTTACACATCCACTCATTCCCTTCCCACCCTAGCAGTAGCTACTAACCTACCTGCTGGCCTTGGACTTGCAACTTCCTGCTGGCTTCCCCACTGATTTTGCCTGTGGGAAGCTGGCAGGGAGTGTCAGCAATCATAATGAGTTTAGAATTCCTATCAGCTTCCATTGTTATTTCCAATGCTCCCTGACTTGTGGGAATCTGTCAGCGAGCATTGGAAATAACAATCATGTGACTGTGGCTGACCACAGCAGCACAGCACGTTGAAGCGGCTATAACTTTTCCAAATTTCAATGCAACAGAAGCAATGGGAGAATGGGATTTTGTATACATTCTATTAGACCATTTGAGGTACCTTGGTTCAAAAATGTTGCCCTCTGATGCACCATTTCACCCAATGGAAGATTACAAACAGACAAACAAACCTAAGTTTTAATTATTATATAGATGAAAGATAATAAAGGTAACCTTTTACTTTGGTTTTGACATGTTATTAATATTAGTATTATTCTTTCTAATGAATTTTAATGAATTATTTTTACTGAAACCAAGTATTGTACATCATTAAAAATGGAGCACCTATTAATAACTTCTTCATAACACCTCTGATACTAACATAAGCAATTTCTCCACTAGTAAATTACAATGTCTTCAAAGTATCACATAGCTGCCGTTCTTGTCCTTATTATAGTTATTTTGGCATAATGAAGTCTAAATGGGTCAGGAAGATACTATCAATTGCTAATAGAAAACAACTGCAGAACACCTAGTTTCTGGTCTTGATCTTTGACACTATTTCTTTTTCTTTTGTTTCTAGAAGGAAGTCAAAAGGGAAACTTCTTCCTTCCTCTTCCTCCCCAGAAAATATGCAGTCTATAATCTAAATCTGTGATTTAGCCCAGAATAAATCCAAACATAAGTACAAATCCAAAATACGGTAAACACATTTAGAAAACAGACAAGCACACCACATAAAGGAATACAACAGCCATGTTGGTTGCAGTAAAAAGTACCACCAATATAAAAAATATTGTTCATTCAAAGTCCCCACCACAATAAAATATACCATAATACTGTACATCCTCATTCACAGTAAAAGATGCTCCTATTTATGAACTACTGTAGTTCACTAGTTTTCTAGCCAGAAATGTTTCTGAATGGAAGAAAGATGCTAATAGCACACAGAAGGGAGGAAAACTCCTGTGCGGGAGATCCAAAGTTTCCTTTCTCTGGCTCAATGCTGTTCTCTTCTGCACATGGAAGAAAGACTGATAGACCAGAGAAACGAAATTTGGGGATATGAGCTTCATTTCTCTGATTCAGTGCATGATATTCATGTCTGCAGCCCTTTCCATGCTCAGGAATTTAATTTAGCTAGAACAGCAGTATGGTCTAGCAAAGGATCTAAAACGTGCTTTGAATTTTCAGCCACTAATTATCTAATCCCCCAGTTAATGTAAAAGATATTTAAAATACCTCTGTAAAACAACTGGATGGTCTGCAATAGACCAATATAAACAAATAAATAAAGTTATAACCTATTTAATAAACATTTTTTTTAAAAAAAATTCTTTGAGATCACTTATTCTTTGTTTCTTTAGAAACGCTGCCAACCAAATTTTGAATTTCTATCGATATGAATATATTTTAGATAAAAAATCCTTCTCTTGGGAAAGAATGAGTTTCTTGAAAAAGAAATCAATGTTAGGTATTAAATTGCCTAATTTAGAGAACATCTGTTTCCTCTTAGAAAGACATCTAAGACCTTTTACATTCCAAAAAATGATTAAAATATGTCAAAAAAATGCACATTAAGCAGTTATTATAGTCACAGGTCAAGGGCAAAAATAATTTACTTAACTGTGATAAATGTTTAAAATAATTGAAAATGAAGCATAAACAATCACAAAGGAACCCCCCCCAAAAAACTAAAAAAAAATTAAAACTAAAGGAAAATACAATGAAAAAAGGAAACTGAAAAAAAAACAAATTCCAAAACCTGTGCTGCAAGGATTTACTCCTCACCTACCCCAAGCCAAGGTAGCCCATCTCCCTCTAGAAAAATACTAAATATTTCAACACTACCACTTATTTTCTTCAGTTGATTCTAAAACAATAAGCCTCTGTCCAACTTCATAGGAATCATTGGAAAAAGAAAATAAATTACTCCATTTTTGTTTTATTGCTAAATGAAATTTACTGAATAACTTCTGCTTCTAAACCATCTGTGTGGGCAGCTTTGAAAAAAAATCATCTTTCAAAATAATTTTTTACCAAAGTTCCATTTGCTAAGATCCCACTTAGCAAGATAAATACAGAATATAAACTCATATTATAGATCGCAAGAATCTCACAAAATAGGATTGGGAGTTTATACTGAATAGAAGCAGATGTCTGTACAATAAGCACTTTTTATTTTATTGATTTATCTATCAAATTTAGATACTGCCATCTCACCCTCACTTTCAATTTCTGAATGAATTTATATTCATTCGTTCCTGCTTCAGTTTAAAAAAACGTACTTATATTTCTCCATAAATGCAGTTACAAACTAATTTTGCTCAGCATTATAAGGGATGTTTAAAAATCATATTTTTTTTATAAACTGGGCCCTGTAACATCTTCCTGAATGTCTATATTTTTAAACTGTTTCTCATTCCATTATATATTTCAAGCTGAGTCATCCTTGTTTTGTGTGAACCAATTAAGGGATTTAGTGCCACCATTTTCTGAACTAAAATATCTACGTCATCTCTGAAAAGACTGTTTCACATAATGCACTGCAATTTTTATAGAAGGCTGTAATTGATGGGAAATTGCTTCTGAAGTGAAGCAGTCCCACCAAGTTTTCTCAGTTGCCTTTTCTAGTCAGGAATAATTTCAAAGCTAAATCTTTATGCTGTTCTTCAGTTTGCTCAAGAAATGGTTTTCCCTCAGGAGGGAGGTGACCCACAATTTATCACCACAAAACAGTATTATAAATGAAGAAAGACAAAACAGTTTGTCTGTTAAGATAAACTCTTAACCTAGGAAATATCTAGTACCAATTTATCACCAAGCCAACCAGAAATCCAAAGAAAGCCCAAACTAGAAGACTCTTCTACAGTGATGCAAAACTTTGCCAAACAGCACCAACCACACTGTCACATTCCTACATAAGGACATTTCTATGTATTAGTTTCCCCCCATTTTTAGAAGAGATGGAGAAGAAGAAAGCTGAGCTTTAAATAAACTCTGCTATATGATATTCAAGCAAGGTAGTATAAGAATTGGAAGTAAAAAAGGGGGGGAAGAAATCAAGAGCAGTGTCATTGGAACAGACTTTTTGTAAAAAGGCCAAAAAAAATTCAGATCAGTACATTCTCATTCTTTCTCATTTTAATAATGCCATTATTTTTAGAACATGGCATAAAGCAGTAAGAAATAGGGGGTAAAATATAATAAGTACAAGATTTTGCTGCTCCATAGATGAATACATACTTCCTTTTCTATATTGTATGAAAAAAAATGGTGGATATTATCATACTTACCATTCAAGGTCCTGTTTTCTTCAATTACAGGGGGACAAATTTCTGTAAGGTATGCAAAATAAAATAATGCTGTAGTGATCACAATAGAGAAAATCTCTCTCATTATGATACTATGTGCAAACATTCTGGGCAAAAAAAAATACCAAGAGCTTTATTCAAGAAAAAACAACCAGAGTTGAATTTTAACCACATAAAAAATAACAGCTCTAAGAAATGTGAGCACTAAAGTGAAGAGAAAGCTATTTCTAACTAGATGGAGATACTTCCTTCACAACTGCAATCATTTTAAATACATGAAACGTTGAGTATTTGTGTCCATAAAAAGTATACCAGCAATACGCTCTAATATGTAGGATGCCATTTAGTGAATGACAAATATACTTGGCATCTACTGGAGAATGCAAAATCATGATAGCCAAACGGCACGAACATTTTATGTTTCAGTAATGGAAAATGATTTACTCTATGCCCTTAGATGGTAACTATAAAAGTGCAGAAATACTATCTAGTGGTTAAGATGATACTCATAGACCAGTGATGGTGAACCTTTTAGAGACCGAGTGCCCAAAACCTGGCCCCGGCCCCGCTCCACCCTTCTGCCCGCCCCCGCTCTGTCCCCCCATCCCCCGCCCTGCCTGCCCACAGGACCACTCACCACCTCCAGGGCCCCCGCCCTGCCTGCCCACAGGACCACTCACCACCTCCAGGGCCCACCGCAGATCGCCCAGGCAGCCCAGCAGCGCTATGGCAGCCACACCCTCTGCCCGCGCCCTGCAGCATCAACTGCATGATGGGGTGTGAGGGCAGAGTCTTGTCTATGCTGCCTGGCTGCCATGTCCTTGGCTGCGCTGCTCCGTGTGGACCACGCTCGAGGGCAACTCTCCTTCAGGGGGGCTGCTGGAGAGGAGGGGGTTGTGGGGGGAGGCAAGGCTGGGGTGGGGCAATGGCACGTGTGCCCACAGAGGGCTCCGAGTGCCACCTCTGGCACCCATGCCATAGGTTCACCACCACTGTCACAGACAGTTTGTCACACTGTGGCAACATCACAAGAAGCATCAATAGGACAGAGGTGCAAAAATGAGCCTTGAAAAGAGCCCCTTTCAGAGAAGATGAAGTCAAAATATATGGACTTTTCAACATTTAGAGGACAAGTGGCTCTGAGGGGGAGTGCAGCCTTATAAAGCCTTTTGTTACTTGAACTATTCTCAAACAAATCAAAACTCTCCAAGGCTAATGACACCAATTTATCTCTTTAATATCTCCTCCCAAAATATGCAAAAACAGAATCAAAATGTTCAACCACAGCTACTCTGATGACTTTCTTTTTCATAGAGTTCTTCTATCTCTTGAAAAAAAATGCAATGCAGTCTTTTATATCAACAGGGGGAGCTGCACTGTGGAAAAAGGTGTCTTGTGTCACCAGAACCCTCTAATGATTTTTTGAAAAACTGCGGCTTTTTATACTTTCTCTTACCAATAAGTAAATAATGAAAAATATTATTAAAAAACTAAGAAAAACTAAAAAGCAATCTATTAAACTGGGTTGAATACACACTCTACCAACACCAATAGAACCCATGAGTGTCAGAAGCTATGTACCTTTAACATAAAAAATACTTTTTAAAACACTGGTAAATTTTGACAACATTACTGTGCGGTTGACTAGCGTGGAATGCACTATAATTCCTAACGCATAATAACAGCATCCAAAGAGAGAGATTTATATCATTTATTTATTTTTCTAAAAACTACTGCACTATGCTTACAATTCCTAGTGTTTCTTCTCAGATTAAGGAATGGAATAGTCAAATGTGGAAACCTAATTTTCAGGTATGAAAAATATTACAATATGCACTTTTTTAAAAAAAAAATCATGTTTTAGCTGTTATTTCAAAAAACATCAAGTTATAAACCCACGCTATATATTTATACACATACACACACATATATTATAAATGGCCATTAAATTACATATAATTGCTATAAATTATATATATAAACATTGATATATATTTAAGCTGCTTGCACTACAGCTTAGAAAATATATGTATGTATATTATAAATTGCTATGAATTATATATATAATTTATATACATTTAATATATAAATGAACATATATATAATTTGTATATTTAAACTGCTTGCACTACAGCTTAGACGATATAAATCAAGACACTTTCCTTAGTCAATCCAGGGCAATGTTTCTCAACCTTAGCAGTGTGAAGATGAATGGACTTCGATTCCTAGAATTCCCCAGCCAGCAGTGTTGAAGTTCACATATCTTCAATTTGCCAAGGCTGAGAAACACTAATTTAGGAGTTTGAAATGACATTACAAGCAGCACAAATTGAGGAAAAAATAAAAACTTCCAAACATCCTACAGTAGTCAACGAGAAGGCACAAGGGCAAGATTGCACAGAACTGCTTTGGAGCAAGCATCAGATGCAGAGCAAAACAATTAAAGGGGGAAGCAGCCAACAGCTGAGAAAAAAAACAAACTATAATCACTTACAACCAAGAATTGTCTTAAGAATCCTATTCCCTGAACCTTATCATGTAAAAGTTGGGTAAAATTGGTTTGTTTTAAGCTGTTTGTGTTGTTCTTAATATTCACCAACTGATGATCATGACTCTGATGCAATTAAATCATTATTTTGCTAAGTCAAATATTGATTCTACATTCCCCAGAGGGTAAAATTCAGTGTTCAGGTTTCTCTGAATTGATTAGGTAATTCAATTTTAAAGAAGAGGACAGTATATGTCAGCAGGATGATCACAGGATAAGAAGTATCAACTTCAAACACATGTTTTTCTGATTGTTATATTAAGAATTT